ACCTAGGTAAATAAGAAGTGAGATTACTCTCACACATTCATACATACACATATATACACACATACAAACACTGCCTCATACACAAGCAAAATGCCCTAATTATTTTTGAGGTCGATGATTTGGTGAATATAATTGCGACTTTGACTGCTTATCCATTTTTTAACTTTTGACTTATATAGCCTGAAAAAATTCATTGCTTTGAACTGAGGAGGAAAATATTGAAGATTCTTGGCCCAAGCTTCTCTGCCCTAAAGTTATATACATTCTAGGGACCATCACGGAAGGGGGTACATAAAATTAGTATAACAATTTTTTTCACAAGCACTAAAAAAGTTACAATATTGAAATTAACCGGACATTTTGTACTACCAAAAAGACACTTAGCCAGCAATTTATTTGGTTTACCCCATGGTTGTGAGGGGTGAAAATCGCAACCCCTAAAATTTATTTCCAATGTAACTTTTTGTCTTATTATTTGTTTATCAGTTAAAAATTGGGTCTCTTGGGTTTTTTACCCAAAATAAACCAGTTCGCAGCAAAAAATTATTTTAGGAACAACTACAGAGATACATCGTCATAAATGCGAAAATACAACCAAATAAATTACTGGCTAAGTTTCTTTTTGGTAGTACAAAACGTCAGGTTGATTTCAATATTGTTACTTTTTCAGTGCTTGTGAAAAAAATTATACAAATGTTATGTACCCCCTTTAAGGGGCTGTATCTTAACAAGGGATTCTCCAATGAAGTTTCTTTATATGAAAGATTCTATCTTTTTTTCGATGAGGAATCACCTCATTGAATGTTTTACACTTATTCAGTTACACCCTGTATATTGAGTCGATTTCCGATATTTAATTTGTTTATTTGAATATAATTTGAAAAATAATCTGGAAAGAATGTTAAATTTGGACTTGCCAATTTTTGCACATCCACCATCAAGCACATGATCTCATATTTTCTAGTATTTCTTTTGTACTTTGATCTATGTTGTGCAATACTCGTAATAGGTCAGAGTTTGATACTGCAAAATTATGATGAAATTAGGTCGAAATACGAATCTGAAAAATTCCGCAAAACAAATAGCGTGCGTGATGTCTTACGTAAAATCAAAATAAACAACCACATATATTTAATAGGCTTATGTCCGTTCAGCTAGTTCTTAGTAATTTATCTTATCTGTGAGAAAAAAATTAATAAACGTTTCTATTCAACTGACGACTTCGCATAATTTATCCTTATAGTTTGAAACTATCATTCGTAGAATATCTTAATGCTCCTCAATTATCAATTGTCACTCGATTGGAAGACGCAGTCGTGATATAGTTCAATTGATCAACAATTAATTATCTCCGTTCCAATTAAGCTCTATCAATTTTCCCTTGTGTATTCTGGGAACCTTTGACGCAGAGATGGATTTATTGGAATCTGGTAGTTCAAAAGGAATTTAGGAGGGATGTACAGAGTCTTTCCTATAGATTTTTAGTACTGAACGACTGACTGACTGTGGTCAGAATGATGTTAGCACGATAGCTTCTGAACAATTGTAGGTTGATGATCAACGATATTCGTTTTGCAGTCTGATGATGATGTTGCTAACATAACCGGTAAATATTAATTTTTGAGAAAGAAATTTCTTGGCTTTCTGCATACTAAAAATGTGGAAATCTTATCTTCCAAAGAAAGGAAGGAAGTATTCAATTTAAAAAGAAGTTACTTTATACACAGATATGTAGATCATGCAAGAAGTAACTTTCAGACACAAACTGGAAAAGAAAGCCTTCTCGAAACAATTACTTCCATATAAAAAAACACTCTTCTCTATTCAGCGATGGCTAATTTAAAAATATTTTTTTGCTTTTAACACAAACTTTACCGCTCCTTTACGCTCAACGCGCGTTTCCTCGTGTAACGCCATCTAAGGGACTAAACAGTAACTATTTCCTGTCCGATAGTTGTCAAACTGTACAATAAATGGCGGTAAGCTTCAATGCGAAGCGAAAAGTTTCTAGTCTCCATTCTCGAAAGTACTAGGCCCGCTCACTGCCTCACATAAAAGCTCGTGCGCCATCCAGCCAGTAATGTCATTCCACGATATTAGAAAAACAAGTGAATTTAGTTAGCAACTAGCTAGGTAAAGTGCTGTACGTGAGGTGGTGAATACTGTGAGTGATGTCATTAGCAAGTTTTTAATACTCGATTCTTCACTTCGGCATTTTTAAAATTGAAATTATGTCGGAAGCAAAAAAAAAGAAACGGCAGTATAGCGCGGAATATATAAAATATGGATTTATTGAAAATCCCACAAATACATCTTCGCCTTTGTGTTTGTGCCTTCTTTGTGAAACAACTTTTTTGAATGAAGCGATGAAACCCTCAAGGCAACAGGATCATTTGAATAAAATGCATTTAGATAAAAAAAGACAAAAGTGACTTATTTTCAAGAACTGGAAAAGAAACACCAGTCAACTGTGTCAAAACATTTTTCAGCGGCTTCTAAGCAAGACGAAGACGGACTTCGAGGTTCCTACAATATCTCCTTGCTAATTGCTCAAACACGTGAACCTCACAGTATTGGAGAGGATTTAATTTTACCAGAAATAAAAGAAGTAATAACGACTGTGCTCCAAAAACCAGCGGCAGATATTATCCGAAAAATTCCTTCAAGCAATAGTTCC